GCAGGCGGATCTCTGTGAGTTCGAGGCCAGCCTGGTCTCCAGAGTGAGTGCCAGGATAGGCTCCAAAGCTACAGAAAAACCCTGCCTCAGAAAACCAAAATAAATAAATAAATAAAATAAATCAGAAACTCATACCATACTCTTTGCATAGTGCTATTCCTTATATGTTTGCAATAAGAAAGAAGGGGCCTATACATGATCCAAGGAAAACCAAAGTAACCTAGGGTCATGCCAATCATAATGAAAGCAAAGCATAGTGGCCAGACAAAGGAGTATAAAGGGCTGAAGAAATGTCCCCTTTGCCATGTATGTCATAATTAGCCTTCTTTTGTATGGATATGATACAAGAGAGAGCTGAATTGGGGTGAACTAAAGACAAAATATATACTTGTAAATCTCCAAAAGCTATACACTTCATAGAAGCCATGTGCCTTATGCTAAAATATCATGACCAAAAGCAACTTGGGTAGGAAAGGGTTTTATTTCATCTTACACATATTCCACATCACAGTCTGTCATCCAGGGATATTAAGTCAGGAGTCCAAGACAGGAACCTGTAAGCGAGAACTTAAGTAGAAGCCATGGAAAGACAATACTTCCTGGATGTTATCCATGGCTTGCTCAGCCTGTTTTCTTATACCATTGACAATGGGCTGATAACAAACATTAACCAAGAAAATATCCCAAAGCCTTGCCAACAGGAGATCTTACAGAGGCACTTTCTCAACTGAGGTTCCTTCCTCTTACATGACTCTGGCTTGTGTCAAGTTGACAAAAAAGCTAGTCAGTACACCATGTATAAAAGAGAGATGAAAGAGCACACTATTTCTAGGATACTGTAAATAACTTAGCTTAAATCACTTGACTTTAGGACTGGATAATCATTATGAGACAAAGGATTTTAGTTTGTAGCTGGTGTCAATGGATATGTAGGAAGAGACATGCCCATACCCCAAATAACATTTTTTAATATAAAAAAAGAACTACTGGTATTTTACATCAACTAAACTTTTATGAAAACATGAATATTAATTTTCAGTGCACTGGACAGATTACTATACAAATATATGCGACTTTTGAGTATTGACTTTACCTTGGACTTGGCTGCCTTAACAAGAATTTCGTAGTTGGAGGGAGGTGGAGCTGGATGTTTTCGAAGCAGAGCATGTTCAGAAAATTCTTCATGAATTTTTTTTGCAACAGAAATATTTGCAAGTAACATAAATTCTTCCACCATGGAATTTGTTTCTCTGCCAGTTAGGAAAGCATTAAGTAAGAAAAGACAAGCTACGACAGCTGTCACCCATTTGTTCCCAAGCTAACTTTTCTAGTGATCATGAGACTATCTCCCACATAAAAACATGAACATGCAGCACATGGTACCTTCTGTCTCTTTAGTTTCTCAGCTGCTATACTAGCAGTCTATTGCCCGTGTCTCTCCTGGGTTAATCCAGTATGCTAGAATTGTTTTAAATTGTAATCAAGGGGGGAAAAAAAAAAGGAAGCGTCCCTAACTTTAACATAAATACAAAACCAACATTCTTACAAAAACAGAACTATGAAAAAAATTAACTTTACTGGAAGAATTAAGAATTAAAAGCTAAGTCACACAGTATTATCTAAACTCCCCAAATTTTTACCAATAAATCACAAATATATTTTCCATAGCTGATCTTGGTGCTTAAGCCCCAATGGGGCTTTCTGCTATAAGTCAATACACATGGTAATACACACAACAGACACACCTGATTGATTTCTAGTTGACAGATGTGTAACACTATTCTCTCCATAGAAGTCATTTTTATCACTAGTGTCAAAACATGAATTCACAGGTAGACTTGTCCATTCTTAAAACAATTTGACACACCTTTCAATCTCCACAGTTCTTCCTTCTAAGTTCTAAGCTAGTTTAATAAACGATCTGCATGCTATATCTACTATTTTCTTTCTCTGGAATCACTGAACTCACTTTACCAATTTTCAATCATGTTCCAGCTATTAAAATAATCTACTTCTTTAGAATATTTCTAAATTATATTAACTTTAAGAATATTAGGAACCCCTCCATATGGGGAAGTCAAATGACTGGTCACAACTTTTAAGTTGTATACACTGGAACCCAAAGTAAAGAATTTAGCTTGAAAAACTGTACTTTTTAAAAAAGATTTATCAATTTTTCAGTTGTGTGCATGTTGGTGTGTACGTGTACACAAGACTATAGGTCTGTGGAGGCCAGAGGCATTGAATCCCCATGGAGCCAGAGTTACAAGTGGAAGTGAGCCATCGGATGCGGGTGCTGGGAAGCAACCTTGGGTCCTCTCAAGAGACAGCAACTTCACAAGGACTCTAAGACAGACATACATGGTCCCCCAGAGAAGGGGAAACGGACAATATCTCCTGAGCAAATTGGGAGCATGGGGGGAGGGGGGAGTGAGCTAGGAGAATGAGAAGGGGAGAAACGGAGGACATGAGGGAGCAGGAAGGTTGAGTGGGGGAAGAATAGAGGAAAGCAAGAAAAGAGATAACATAATAGTGGGAGCCATTATAGATTTAAAGAGAAATCAGCACTAGGGAAATATCCAGAGATTTACAAGGATGAACCCAACTAACAATCTAAGCAATAGTGGAGAGGCTACCTTAAATGCCCTCCCCTGATAATGAGATTGATGACTACCTTATATACCAGCCTAGAGCCTTCATCCAGCAGCTGATGGAAGCAGAAATAGACACCCACAACTAAACACTGAACTGAACTGGAATCCAGTTGCAGAGAGGGAGGAGTGATGAGCAAAGGGGTCAAGACTAGGCTGGGGAAACCCACAGAAACAGCTGATCTGAACAAGGGAGACCTCATGGACCCCAGGCTGATAGCTGGGAAACCAGCATGGAACTGATCCACACCCACATGAACAAGGGTGTCAGTGAGGAAGCCTCAGAAATCTATGGGTCCTCTGGTAGATCAGTACTTATCCCTAGTGTACGAATGGACTTTGGGAGCACATTCCACATAGAGGGATACTCTCTCAGCCTAGACACAAGAGGGTCTACGTCCTGCTCCAAAGGATGAGACAGACTCTGGAAGATCCCCCATGGAAGGCCTCACCCTCCCTGGGGAGCAGAAAGGGGATGGGTTAGGAAGATAGTGGGGGGCAGGAGAGGAGGGCAGGGAGAGGGAACTGGGATTGACATGTAAACTATCTTATTTCTAGTTTAAATTAAAAAATGAAAAAAAAAAAAAAAGACAGCAATATCTCCACATGCAAAGCCCATGGTCCCTTATACCTCTGTATACTGTATTAAGTACTTAAGAACTCAATCACTGCCATTTTCTTTTTCTGTAACTATTACTACTCAAGTTTAAATTAAAAAGATCACATTTACTTTTGCAAATCATTAATAAGTCAAGAAATTTCATGGCTATACTAATTATAACAATTGATTTGGGTATAAATGCTCTGATGATTAGTATATACCTTAGATACTACACTAAAAAATTAAAATTAATTTTAATACCAATTTTTAAAAACCACATGCCTCAGCTCCTTGGTCTGCAGATCTATTGGATCATGAGTTTCACTGTCCATGTGGAATCGAACTTCTGGAGAAGACAGAGTCAAAGCCCTGAGGAAAAATGAGAGAAATTAGTCAGATGAGCCAAGAACAAAAAAAACACTCTCCAAGTGATCCCCTTAAACCAGAAGATGAGAATATCAAGCACATGAGCATTTTTCTTGAAAGGCTTTATGACTGCTACTAAATTTGACGTTCTATTTTCATATAAAGCCTAACTCTTACATTTCTATTAAGCTACATAAGTTTGTACCTACTTATTTTAAGTGGCTAAAAGAATAAGCAGACTGGTATTTGATTTTCTATGAAAAACAATGTATTGGGATGGGTAATGATGGCAAGGACAAGACCAGCTCTTATATAGGTAAGTTAATCAGAGAAGATGTATAGACACCGAGTGGAGACTGATAAAATTACTACCACTTGCACAAGAAATTGTGGCTATTCATATTAGACTGCTGTGGGCCTCAGAATATACTATGCTAAAGGCTTTTTATGTGTGGTTCTTAGTGAGTTGACTAGTTTCTCCTTGCAAAGGTTTTACAAGGTTACATCCCGAAATCGAAAATGTTGCTACTTTCATCAAGTTCCAAATCAAGCTGAGTTTTCTTCTTGTTTCCTTCTGTTTTTTTTTGTTACAGGGTCTTACTTTTAGCTTTGGATAGACTAGGACCAGCTATTTAGACCTGACTGGCCTAGGATAGAAGTTCTAGATCCACCTGACTCTGCCTCCCAAGTGCAGGCACGCGTCACTATGTATGACACTGAACAATCTTGGACAATCATGGACAAGTTGAAACAAATTAATATTAACCTTACACTTAAGTGACAAGCTTGAGCAGCAGCTTTACTAAGGTTTAATAATTGTTTTCGTATACATACCTAATCTGTAAAGAGTTTTCAGTTTCATGTTTAATTATTCAAATATGGTAGTCACTGGCCACACCTGGCTGCTGAACATAATTAACTGTGCTTTCAGAGAGTACAGAAGGTTGCTCACGTGCATTCAGGAACATAAGTTAAGCACTGTTTGAACAGGCAGTGTTTGCACCACCAGCAAAAACATTTTTCATTTAATTGCTTGTGGCATTCTTCAAGATGTAGTGAGAACCAACCTCTAAAAGGCTCTTGTACTTTATTTCCACTTACAGCAGTCTTTCAAAATTGAAGCTATTTTTAACTGCTTTCTTTCTAGCAAGTTTGAGTTTACATTCCTTCTCTTATGCTTGTTATGGTTAGGCAAATGCCATGATATAATCTAATATAGTCTACCAGCTAAATAATCACCATTCTAACAAAATACTCTAAAGAAGCCAAATGTTATCTCAGTATCATAACTGCTATTAATCATAATCATAACCTAAGGCATGTGCTGGTAGATTTTTAGAAAACATACCCCTTTTCAATCCTTCCCTTTTTTAGAATTTTGGCCAGTTTATTTAGTCCACGGAGACTAGTGGTAATATCATCATTCATGGCTGCTGAATCAATTCTCATCTGTGCTTCAGCATACGTAAGAGAAGCCTAAGAAAGAAACTTTCGGTTAACATAAATCTCATAATCTATACAAATGAATTTACTATTTGAACCATACTGTGTATGTTGTGTGTATCCAGGTGTTAGTACTGGCCTATGCAGGCCACCATGTCTCACGTCTCTGCCTCCTACACTGGGATTACAGACACACCACAATGCCCAGCTTTCTATGAGTACTGGGAATCCTAATTTAGGATGGCACAGCAGGCATTTTATACTCCCCACCTCTAAACTGTATTATTTTTAACCTCATATTCTATGCTTTCAGGAAGCCTAAAATAAGTAACAAGAGAAAACTACAGAGATTCTTACCTTTACACCATGATTTCTAGTTTAACTCAGACATTCATTATATAACAGAAGCAAATTTCCATTAAAATAAAGGAAATTGGCAGTTTCCTTAGTACTTTCATTTTAATATATTTCTAGGTAATACTTGACTAAATCACAAAGCAGGTTCTGGCTACTCTCTGAAATCCTTTGCAAAGGTCATTATTCCCCTCCCTATTTACAGGCAAATAAGAAGAGTATAGATTTATTTATATGAGACTAACCAACCAAACAGATCCAAATGAGAGAAGAAAGTGATAAGTTTAAAGCAATCTCTAGTAACAGATAATCCAAACATGGAATTGGCTGCTGCTTCTTCTATCTAAATGGAAAACTAGTATTTTTTCAGATTAAAAGATAAAAGACTAAAATTCACAAGCAGCATAAGGGAGTAACAAAATAAAGGTTAAGTCAAGTTTCTGGGAGCACCTTTATCTACTAAGGGCTAAAAATATTATAAATGTTCATTAATTTTTAATTTCAATCCATAAGATTTTGTTAAAATTGAATCAGGATTATTGTCTCAATGTACTCTAAAAACTATGAATCTCTAAAGGCTGAAAGAATTCCCACATCACTGTTTGCTTGTTAACAGTTCTTTCCACTAGTCATCACAACGATGACACTAATTTGGAAGAAAAAAGTGTCTGACTTTCTGAAAACATTACTGCAGAAAATGAAGATGAATATCAAAGAACATGGAGAGGGATACAAAGATGAGGAAAATCTGGCTCCCTTCTGTTTGAACACAATCTCAGGTTAGTTCTCCTGGAATCTAACTATAATTTATGGAATGTTATCCACTATGAACATGGCAATTTTTCAAACACTACATTTTTAAGCAAGAATAACTTCAATTAGTAGGGTTACTGAGTGAGGGCATATAGCACTTTAGTTGAGGTATGTAGCTTCTAAGTTCCTGTAGTCATTCAATACATAAAGTAATTTCTGAATAGAATCAATAATTAAGGAAAGTTTTAAGTTCTGAAACAAACTTGGGATCGCTACAACACTGAACCTTACTTTTTCAAAAGTGTCTAAGAAATTGTTAAAAGCACCAAAAATTTGAAATGTCAGATATGAATCATAACACTAACCTTTGAATTAATTACACTTTTGGTAAATCTTGTTTTTAAGATTTCAGCATTATGATTCATTTCCCAAATACAGGAAAATGCCAACCTTCAGGGAAAAAGAGACGGTATTTGTTTATGGGAGTCAATTAATATAGTTAACAAGACACTCTTATTAAAACAAATGCAGAAATACCTGTCCACATTGGATCGTAAGGAGCATAAGTTAGAGCTAAGCAACTCTGGAACCATGTCAATCCTCTGAAAAAGAAGACAGCAGATCTTAGAGTACTCAGTCACATTCACACATCTTAATTTCCATCTACAACAGCATCAAGTGAGCGGGAAAGGGGCAGCACATGCCTGGCCTTCTGACTTGAGAACTAAGAACATGACAAAGTCTGTAGGAAACGACACAAAATTGTTGCAGAAGGCAGTGAGGGTGGCAATTCATGCCAGTGGCCTGCCTGTCCTCAAAATCTGAAATTTCTGGTCTTTGTAAGTTGGTACCTAATAACTTACAAGCGCCTAACCAACAGAGTTTTTCCCACTGCTAAACCAAACTACACAGTGCTTTAAATTACTTAAAACTGAGAGGAAAAATACAGTTTTGAGAAAAAGCTTTATGGTATACTTTGAGCATGAATCTCTAACATATTAACCTTCCCCCTCCTCCCAGCTCAGCACACGGTCCATTTAAGTTTATGAAAACCATACTTGAAAGGATTTTTACTTTTATGTCTGTGCAATATGTGCATGCCTGGTGCCTTTTAAAGAAGCCAAAAAAGGACACTGGGTCCTCTGGAAATGGAGGTACAGACTGCTTTGTTTTGTGTTTGAGTATAGTGTAAGTACATGTTCATGTATGTAGAGGCCAGACTCACTTAACTTGGATTTCACTCACTTGGCTATGCTGGGTGGCCAATGATCTACAGGGAATTGCCTGTTTGCACCCACCAGTGTTAGGTTACAGATGTGGTACTGTTTCTGTTTGGGTCTTGGGAGCTGAACTCAGACTGTCATACTTGTGTGGCAGGTACTTTACCAACTGAGCCATTGCCTCAGGTCACAAAATGCAGTATTTTCTGTGACTTAGGACACCTTCACCAATAGTTTCTTTCAGCTAAATATATCATGTATTTACTTCAAATTATGATTACTCAAGAAACCAAAAGTTCCTGGCTCAGCCTTCAAAAAGATGAGGCAGGATATTCAAGAGGTTGAGGCTCATTCTGGCCTATACATCAAGACCCAGTGCCTATCAAAACAAAACAAAATGCAAAAGTGCTATAATCAGTAAAAGGTTTTACATTTAATATATTCACCTTTTCACAAAGATAAACAGTTGTTCCTCTTCTGGCTGACTCTTGATCCAACGCATTTCCTGGCCTGATAAAATGACTAACGTCAGCAATATGAACTCCAACCTTAAAAAGATTAAAAATCAAAGGATGTCAATCTACATTATTAATAGCACAGACTTACAATAGAACTTAAATGAGAAAAAATGTAGCTAAACTGAAAATGGACTCAATCACAGCTAATAATTCAACCTCTGCACATTCCCATTAGTTTTGTATTTTATATTCTGTCCTGGAAAATAAAACAAATAACAAAAACAATGAACCCTAGAACTGAATCACATTTAGCTAAGAGTTTTGAAACAATATAGGTACCTCCAAATTTCCATTACTGAGTTCTCTACAATGCAGGGCATCATCTATGTCAGTACATCCTGGAGGGTCTACACTGCAAACACACAGATGTCTCAGGTCTTCACGGTTTTTCATGTCCTAGAAAATACCATGTTAAAAAGAAAAAAATAACAACTTGAGTAACACAACAGCAACTTAGGAAATAAATATCCCCACAAAATTAAGTTACCTTTCCATGTTAAGGAGAAAAGGCACTAGCTCTACAGCCTGGAAAATGTCATCTACCAGTGAAAAAAGCAAGTGATTTGTGGAACACCTAATTGTTGGAACCTGGCCTGAGAAAGGAGCTGAATTGTTATTGGATTATGCTTTCATGCACCCCCCCACCCCCCACCCCATATTGTGGATAGGAGTGACTTTACTTTTGCTTACTCATTACAACTGCCTATTGTTACTTGCTTATACGCCTCTATGGAGAAACATGGTTTTGCCACATTCAGTTTGTCCTTGTGACTGATTGTACACCTTACTCATGTGACTCAGCCCTCATAGTATAAAATGTCTGAGGCTTTGAATAAAGTAGCCTACTGCATTTGAGTTTAGTTGTATTTATTTTAAGTTCTATTTAAGCCCAGATTCCACCTCCTTTAGAGCTGTAAACACCTACCAATGCTGTAACTAACTGTGAAGAAGCAGGAGCCATGGTTTCTACATATTTAAAAACACATACAGAAATTAAATTAATTACATCCTGGTCTGGTCTCTCAGTCCTGTAATCCTAGATACTCAGAAACCTGAGGCAGAAGAAATGAAATTTCAAGGTCTACTTGGGTTACAGAGAAAGAAGATCCAGGCCAGCCTGGGCAACTTAGTAAGACCCAACTGAAAAGAAAAACCAAAATGTAATCAAGGGCTAAGGATTTAGTCCAGTGGTAGTGCCTGACTAACTTGCAAAACGTCCCATGTTTAATCACCAATACTAACAACAAAGAAACAAAGACTTCCTAGGGGAAGAGATAATCATAAAGTCACTATGAATTCTTTTCAACTTACGTTCTCAGTAATACTCCACGGCATCTTTGGCAGGAAGCTAAGAACAGCCTGGGAAAATGGCTGATGAGGAACATCATGCTCAAGCAACAAAACTTCTGTTTCTGTCTCTTTCTCTCCAACATCACCTAAATTTTTAACGAAGTGTCCCTGAAATCAAAAGGTATTATCAGAAAGGCACACTTTGTTACTAATTCATATTTTATTATACTCAATCTTCCAGCATTTTATTTATCATCTCAGCATTTCTAAATCTTTTTTCTAACAACATTTAAAAACAACCCTATGGCCAGGCAGTGGTGTTGTACGCCTTTTAATTAATCCAAGCACTTGGAAAGCAGAGGCAGATTGATCTCTGGCGTTGAGGCCATCCTGGTCTACAGAGTGAGTTCCCAGGAGAGCCAGGGCTACACAGAGATACCCCATCTTGAAAAACAAGCACACACACCCTTTGGGCCTGGAGAGAGAGTTCAGCAGTTAAGAATACTGTTACCCTTGCAGAAGACCCAAATTCAACTTCCAGCACCCGTATGATGATTTATAAGCATCTGTAGCTGCACTTCAGTAGATCTGACAGTCCCTGCTGGCCTCCCTGTGCACCAGGCATGCACTATGGTACACAGACATACGAGCAGGCAAAATCCCCGAATATAGAAAAGCAAACAAGAAAGCAAAAAAGCCTGTGGTAAATTAAACATGAAAATGACAAGATTTTTCAACTGCCTTTGAGGGCCTGGTTCTTAGACCACAAAGCCTATGTTTAGTTCCCGTTAGCCTTTAATGTAAAATGTGCTTTAAAAGCAATATTTTCAAAATTTGATTAAAATTTATTTAGGACACAAATACTTTTTCCATAAAGTATATCAGTAAAGGCTGTTTGTTGGTTTGAATAAAAGTAGCCACATGACTTACAATGGAATTAGATAAAATTCATCTAGGTAACCATGAAATATTTGTGTACATTTTCATTAAAAATCAACAGTATTTGTCATAAATTTTAATACACAAAGGTAAATTAATATTTTAAGCTTACATTTGGATATCTCGAATTTCTAGGCCAACCATCAACAGCAACAATAATTCTCCGTCCTTCTAATGTAGAAGCCTGTCTGGTTTCTATCCGAATTCGTGGAATTCTCTTATCAGCAGGTGTAAAGAGATGTCTTCTTGACTAGAAAAAATTTAAAAAAATTATTTACAGTCCTGGGGATCAATCATAATAGTCCTAGTGCATGCTCAGAAAGTTCTGTATCACTGAGTTACACCTCTAACCCAGGAAAAACAACTATATATATATAATCTGGAAAAAAGGCCTAAGGGAGAGCTTTGGGTTCTGGTCAGTGGTTATCAGTTTTCAATAATGGTAACAAGTGCTTTACTCACCTCTTTAATACCAGATTTGGAAAGCATGCCACAATATGGTCTCCAATTCCTTTTTATTATTCCTACAACTCTACCTGTAGGCCTTAACATTTTTTCACTTACAGCAGTCTTAAGCTGAAATAAATATAAAAAACAAAAATCTTGTTATTTTTCTTCCAAGTAAAGTGAAGTAATTGTGCTTAGAATATGCACATGGACACTAATATATTCAGGTAGCAAATAATGACATGAAATTCAGAACCTTTATATCTCAAAGTTCTAGACATGAGCATACCAACTGAACAATGCTTATTATTACATAATAAACCAGTCCATAGTAACTCCGGAAGAACATACCTGAATAAATGTGTCAGAACTCAAGTGTTTTCCAGTTTAATGAGGATTTATTGACAAAAACACATGTAAGTCTAGGAATTATGAGACTTAGTATCAGTTTAGACGAGTTAGATGTAAGTAGTTCCTAACTAGTTACTATGTAGTTATTATGGTGAAAATGTCATGCTGGATCTAATCCATTACAAAATAAATGCATCTTTGACAGTTCTATGCTATCTCAAATTAAAAGTCAAATAAAGAATGTAAATCATTAGAAATAGAGCCTATAAATTATACTTCTAACAATCTCAAATGATTGGACTCTTCAAGAATATTATGGTAAGATTTCAGGAAATTAAATGTAAGTAATGAAAAGCAGAGTTAAACATGCTACATTTAATATAATTGTTATCCTCATAAGATGGGTAAGTTGGTCATTTCTAGTAGACTTAGTAACACATAAGAAATAACTCATTCTCCCCAATAAATGTATTAATAGAAATGGAATAATTAAGCATGTCCAAATGCAAAGATCCAGAAGCACATTTTCTAAATTTTAACATTGCAAAAGAGTTTCAGAAAATTCTACATTTCTATTTACTTAAACTTCATTAATTCAGATCATATCATGAATGTTAACAGACTTCTACCTTCATACTCAAACCATTCTGAATACTTAAACTCATTTGAGTAAAATGTCACTAAAAGAAGACAAGTTTGTATACTTAGAACAGAAATAAACTATGTGCATAACTTGTATTAAAATTAAAGCTATTTAATCCCAGCACTCGGGAGGCAGAGGCAGGTGGATCTCTGTGAGTTCAAGACCAGACTGGTCTACAAGAGCTAGTTCCAGGACAACCTTCAAAGCCACAGAGAAACACTGTCATGAAAAACAAAACAAAACAATTAACTACAGAACTTGAAACTGGAGAGATGGCTCAGTAGCTAAGAATACTGGCTGCTCTTCCAGAGAACCTGAGTGTGATTCCCAGTATCCACATGGCAGCTTACAACCGTCTGTAATTCCTGTTCCAGGGGATCTAACATCCTTTTCTGGCTTCTGCAGGCAATACACACACATGCTGCACAGACATCCATGCAGGCAAAATACCCATACACATCAAACAAAAATGAATAAACCTTTAAAAAACTTCTGAGCTGTGATTTCATCCAATCCATATGGAAACATTGGCAAGTTAAACAGTGCAACGATGGGACAGAGACAAACCCTGTGCCCTTGCGTACCGCCAGTTGTCTCTCCTCATCTCTCTCCACATCATCCTCATTTTCACCTTCATCATGTAAAACCACAGAAGACGGCGCCACCCACTGACTCTTGGGCAGAAGCTCCACAGCCACAATGTCTTCATGAATAGCTCTGTTTAGATGCTTAAGTCCTTGTATAAGGATCTGTGCAAACCAACAAATGGCATGTGTTGTAACAGATTTAATGGCAATAATGAAAAAGTTATCCAATATTCTAACTAGTGTATATAATACTAATTCTTTTAATGTTTTTCCTATTTTAAAATAATACCCTGAGTCAGGCTTATTGGGTAAAAGTGAATACTACACACACTGATCTGAATTTGGTCCCCAGAACCCATGGAGGAGGAAGGACAGAACTGACTTCTGAACACTTAATCTCCCGCATCATACTTGGGCAGTTTACTCCCAACTCACATATCCACATCAGATATGCACAATCTTAATCATTTTAAAAATTAAAATAAAAAGTACTGTTCTTTGATATATACTCTTAATTTTTAAACTTCAGGAGAACAAAAATGTTCTAGAAACAGGGCTTTTGATTATGACTCCACCTTAAACAATGGCAATTAAATAGTTGGGAAAATCAAACAGTTAAATCTCAAGATCTTGGCTGGTAAAAATGAAAACACAACTACTTTCACAGATTGGGGTCGAAGACTAAGTGAAATCCTGCAAGTCAAAAGTTGGACAAATTTGATGAACAGCAACACTCTAAAAGCTGCTATCGTGCTGTGAAGCCTTCTTTTTGTTGTGCAAATATTATTTATTACAAGTAGATATTATATCTCATTTTACAATATTTGATGATTCTCTTAAAAGTTGAGTTATTAGAAAATTGTTAAATAATCAATCACATTAAAAAAGTCATTTATTAGCTGAGCAGTGGTGGCCCATGCCTTTAATCCCAGCACTCAGGAGGCAGAAGCAAGTGGGAGCTCTGTTGAGTTCAAGGCAGCCTCATCTGTAAGTGAATTCAAGGACAGCTTTGCTACACACAGAAATCCTGTCTCAAAAAAAAAACCCCAAGCCAACTCAAGCTTAAAAAATAAGGTCCTTTATTTATTGTTTTTATTACTCTGTTACCAAGTAGAAAGAGAAGGTAAGGTAGAGAAATGGCTCTGGTATACATGCTTTCTTGGAAGAATACAGATTTGAGAAAGCCCACAGACCATAGAAAAAATCCTGGGCATGGTGGCCTGTCATCCTGCCCTAAGCAGGTGGAGACAGAGATCTCTGGAGCTTAGTGGCCAGTCCAGCCAGCCTAACTGCGGAGCTCTACGTCAAAAGTCTCTCTACAAGGAAGAGGCCACACTTGTAAGGATATCACCTATCGCTATTGTTAGTACTCAGGCATCTACATACTGGCCTGCCCTTGGGGTCCTGACAGGGCACGCCCTCAACTGCAGACACTAAGAGCACCACCTGTGCACATTCACTACGTTCCCTTTTAAAAGGGCCCTGCCCACCTCCTATCTTTTTCTCTCTCCCTCCTTTTCTTTCTCTTTTACCACTCTCATCCCCAGGGACCAATCTCTGTCCTGGTCTCTGCCCCCTTTCTGCCCCTTCTCTCTCTCTTCTAATAAACCTCCTATGTGAGTCCTGTTGTAAGGCATGATTTCTCTTTGAGGTGTTTCTTTAAATTACGACCGCTGTCCTCTGGCTTCCATACTCACAGATACATGCGTCCATGCTAATTAAACATAAATGAGGCAAATTTAAATTCTCATACAAAAGTTTTAATGAACACAAAGTATTTTAGTATGTAAGTAATTTATACAAGGGCCAGCAAGATGGCTCAGCAGAAATCCACTAAGCCTAAGATTTTGAATTCAATATCCGAGACCCTTCTCACCCGACATGCATATGTACACCCTCGTGCATGCACACATACATACACAAAAACAACACTTTTAAAAGGGAAATTTACATCCTGTCTTAGGATTTCTATTGCTGTGATGAAACAACATGACCAAAAATCTAATTGGGGAGGAAAGGGTGACACTTGGCTTACACTTCAGCGTTGCTGTTCATCACTGAAGAAAGTTAGAACATGAAGTCAAACAGGGAAGGATTCTGGAGGCAGGAGATGATGCAGAGGCCATGGAGGACGCAGCTTCCCATGGCTTGCTCAACTCAGCATTTTATAGAACCCAGAACAGGCACCACCCACTATGGCCTGGGCCCTCCTTCACTGATCAATGCTTGAGAAAATGCCTTACAGCTGGATGTCATCAAGACATTTTCCCACCTGAAGCTCCTTCCTCTCTGATGACTCTAGCTTACACACACACAAAACAGCCGGGAGACATACTTACCTCCTTTTCCTCTTCTTTGTCTCCATGAATCCACACTGTGGCTTCTAAATAATTTTCCCTGCTGGCTCTAAATGTTCCTTGAAGGTATGAACCAGATTTTATGCCTTGTTGAAGCTTACTTAAGGGAAGATGCTCTGAAAATATTATTTTTCCACTTTCTATTTCATTCTATGAAATAAGCAAATCAAAAGTCTGTTTATTTAATGTATTGTTTTCAAGAGTATCATACAAGTTAAAAATATAGAACTGAATTTACACTAATAGAGTAGTATATTTTTCCAGACCACTGCTATCTAAAACAACTTGCTGGAATGAAAGAGATTAACTTTTTAGTGATGTGCAACATGGTAGCCACTAAATTCTCTTGAAAAGTTGAAATCCATATAATACAGCTGGGAAAACAGATTTTGAAATTTAAATTACATTTAAGCACCTAACATGTAACCAGTAATGAGTTATTAGATAGAGTACACCAAAATAATGTATTCCAAAAATCCAGTACAGTTTGCTGCTTTTAGACTTCTTTTTGTTTTGTAATGCAGTTAGTGAAAGACAAGTAGAATGGGAGAAAAATTGTTAGCTAAACAGAATGGATATATGTACCTTGTCCTACTAGATACAGCTACTTTGGTAAAACAGCTATCATTGTTATCAGATAATAAACACTTGAGTCATGAAGAGGATATAAAGTCAACTGTTTTTCTTTTTGATAAGTGGTAAATTAAGCACTTCTAAAATTCAATGTGAATTTCAGAATAACTACTAACTACAGAAATTCATTAAGACTTTGGGTTTTCTTGATAACACTGCATATTTTTTTTATTTGTGAGGTCTTAAGATAAATGTTTTAATAAGTTTAATAAGTACATTTATCATAGCTATGTGTCAAGCAACAAGACAAGAGTTACATGAATGTTTCCAATTATACTTCACTCAGCTCTAATAATGATATAGTTAGTGTTATTTAGCTTACAAAGAAAGTCAATTTATTTAGCAATGTCATCTCAATAAGCCAATCACAAATGTCTTGTTTATAACCTAACTCTGTTCCACCTCTAGCTTATTGGCATGTTCTAATTTTTAAATCTGGTAACTATGAGCCATATCCGAGATGCTTTTTTTTTTTTTCAGTTTTTCGAGACAGGGTTTCTCTGTGTAGCTTTGGAGCCTATCCGGCACTCGCTCTGGAGACCAGGCTGGCCTCGAACTCACAGAGATCCACCAGCCTCTGCCTCCCGAGTGCTGGGATTAAAGGCGTGCGCCACCAACGCCCGGCTATTTTTATATTTACTTTTTTTTCCAAAAACAGAACATCTTGAAACATACCGTTTCTTCAGACAAACAAGCAAGACGATCTATAAGTTCAGGATTAGCAGTCAGGCTCTTTACATATTCTTCACCTGAAAAATCAGTTAATGTTTTTAAATTCAACTGTCTATAATTTCATCTAGGCATGAGAGAACATGAATGATCATGCTTTGATAATACAGCTGCCATTTTTTAATACATGAAACAAAAACTACTCTGTTGATGTGATCAGGAGCAATGGGTCCAGCAAACATGAACTTTTATTATGTCAACTGCAAATAGTGAGGAAAAATTAACAGCCGTTATTTACAATTGCTTATTAGCTCACTGAGAAATTTAAAATGTAAAAAGAATGTGGGGCAGTATTGGTACAAGCCTTTAATCCCAGCATTCAGAAGGCAGGGGTAAGAAAATCTCTGTGAGTTCGAGGCTAGCCTGATCTACAGAGTGAGTTCCAGGACAGGCAGTGCTGCTGTTACAAAAAGAAACCCTGTCCTGAAAAACCAAAAATAAATAAATATAATAGTAAAAATAAATCTTTAAAATAAAATATAACAAAGATGGCTCAGCAATTAAATAAACTTGCTGCTCTTGAAGAGGACCTGATTTCAGGCTCCAGCACCAACAGAGTGGCTCATAAGCACCTAATTGCAGCTCCAGGGCTGTCAACACCACTTCTGACTTGCAGTCAGTGCATGCATGTGATGCACATACATCCATGAAGGCAAAAGCTTCACACAAATTAAAAACTGAAAAACATTCATTTCAAATGTAAAAAGAAATTATACAGGGCGATAATATAATGAGTCCTGTGAACATCTGGCTTGATACTAATTTTTATATACAGTTGCAAACATGCATAAAAGTGTCTACATCCAGACCTACATGTGAAAGCTGGTATTCCTTCTTCTACAGCTTTTTCTTTGTTCTTCTTGTCATTTGTTATAAGGATAACTTGTAGCTGATTTTCTGCTGAAATTTTCTTCAAATGCTCATTGTACCATTTTGCTGCTACTCGAATGGCTCTATCATTTCTGTCATTAGCATTTTCTCCCTGTTCTTGTTCTATGTAGGTTTCTCTAAATGAAAAAAAAAAAAAAAAAAAAGGGGGGGGCACAAAATAAAAGTTAACCAGCAGAAACAAAGATGGGTAAAACCTTCTGAGACGTAAATGTTTGACAGCTACTAAAGTGAAAAGTTGGTTGTACATATATTTAACTTGAATTTACATGGTCAAAACAATTCTGTTAAGACCCTTTAAAAAAGTTTTCAAGACAACAACTTTCCTAAGGAGAGATTTATGTTATTAATGGGAAAATACAGAGGCTCAAATAGTTTCATTTCATAAAAAATAAATTAGATCAGAATTTAGACTTCAAACTGGGATGTTAAGTTTACTGGGTGGGAGGGATTAATAGAACTTTGGAGACCTAAAGATACTAAAGATACTAAAGACCTAAAGATACTAAAACTTTACTGAACAAATCATGGATGAACAGCCAACTACTAAGCTCTACAGTGTGATAGTCACACTGTATGATCATGTGATTCAATAGTCATTCAATAAATACACGATCTCGGTAGGTCATCCATGGTAAACACTAAATACAGCAAAGACTATGTAAACACTACAGGGCCACAACTCTCAAATATGGAAATACACTTACATACTTCTTTAAGTCAGTTCTTCAAAGCCTATTCTTAGTATTACTTTATTCCATACCATTAACTACTTCCTAATGCTTCCAGGGGTATCCAACCTTCTGACACTGCAACATAATTCTGTGAATCTACAAATGTGTTGGGCCACATCTGTAACTATTCTGGTGCACAGGGGTCCTCTGCTTACAAACTTGACAAACCTAAGCTTATCAGTACAAAGTCATAAAACTTAAATTTGGTTTTAAGTGACATGCTTAAGTAGCAAAATCTCCATGAGATTTGCATAGTGTCTAAAAGTCTTTCAATTAGTCCCTGTATTGCTAAGTACTACTCAAAGCACTTGAAGAAAAAAAAAAAAAAAAAAAAAAAAAAAAAATGCTAATCCTACATTAGGAATCTGATGAACATGTTCCATGCAATCTTGGTCTTCTGGTACTAGCAAATAAGTGTTATCTGTTTCTGGAGTTTAAGGAAGGAGGGAGGGAGGGAGGGAGGGAGGCTGGGTGTGTGTGTGTGTGTGTGTGTGTGTGTGTGTGTGTTTAGGCAATACTTAAGTCTGAAGATATAAGAAAGGGCTATACCTGACAAAGTATGGAAACTTTGGATTATTAAACTTGTGACTAATAGGGAAATGCTATTTGTACACACTTAACATAGGCCAAAGATGCTGCCAAACGCTTACAACCTATAAAATTTCACACAAGAAACTACTCAGTTCAAAATGTTACTAATGTCAAGGTTGAGAAACTGACTATACCCACCATAATTACTTATGATTGCAAGGGAAAAGGGCCAGCCTAAGAAACACACTTTGGCCCTACAATCAGAGAGCCAGTGATAGAAATACACGTTGTCCCTAAAATTAGTGCCAAAATGTTAAAAAGGACCAGTGAAAGAAACATACTTTTGCCCTGAAACTCCCTGAGCATGAGATCTAGCCAGTCTGAGCTCAGGGATTGAAATCTGACCAATTCCCATCCTGGAAATTTCCCTGGAAAAACTCCTTAAGAAACCCTATATAAACCTATGCCTATTCAGCTTATGGCTGTCCTGCTGTCTGGCTATCGGAGGACACTCTCCTGGATTCTTCCCTCCCAATAAATTTCTTGAATGAGGTTTGGGTGAGACCTTCCTTCTCTGGAATGGAAGAGAGAAGTAACAAATTTTCCTCCGAGCCAGAACAGACAGGAGCTGAGCTGTAACAATTTCCCTGGGGAAATCCTCCCCTAGGAAAGTGGAGTTGTTACTGTAACAACTTTGATGGGGAAACCCTCTCCTGCCAGAACAGAGCTGTTATACTGGAGAAGCCTTTCTCTAAAGCCTTTCTCTAGAGCAGGGCAGGTAAACAGTAAATGTTGACATAAAAGTACTCTTATAGCCAGTCGATCCCGGTTTAAGATGTGACCTCACTAACACTGTGACCTTACTTAGGCCCCACTTAGCAATGTCTTCCACACAGCGAAGTAACAACCAAACAGCGCACGAGACTATAGATCATCTTTGATCAATGACTCCCAGGTAAGTCCCTTTAACTTTCGTTAACCCTGTTATTATAGAATATTTACTTGTGGTGCTCATTAGTGAACGTGTAGAAATGCTTCTCCTGGTTATTGGTCACATCCCTGATGCGCTTATATATGGGGGCGCTCCGGTTTCTCACTTCTTGCAGGACTGTCTGCAGCACAATCACATTCCTGATAGCAGGGTCCTCCAGAACGTCAATCTTAAAAACAAAAGCAAAGAGTTAATTTTCCCCATGTTCACTCAGAAACTGCTCCTGTCAAGCCTAAAATCCTGTTACAGTAGTTCAATACACTGACTCTCCGTTAGGCCAAAGTGTTACTTTGCTGGAGAAAAAAAAGTGACAATGGTCACTGGGGCCGAGTAGGCTTGAGGAGAGCACCCGTAAACGGGCCACAAACGTTTGCAGGATTCAAGCAATTAGTCAGCAAATATGCTGGCCCGCATAGTTTTCATTCGTAGGCACTTACAAGCTGCCTGGGGGTCGCAATCTGGAGGCGACAGAAGCCCAGGTCCCCGGCTTCCAGGCACTTATAATCTAAAGTAGAAGAGACACCAGGAGTTAGAAAATTCACGTGTCTAAAACTACGACTCCAAGAACCGAAAAACGGAGATGAACGAAACAGCGCTGGGGGAAAAGTACCTCGGCCTGGATAACTGGAAGCAAGGGTGGCCTCGGT